AAGGAAGGAAGGAAGGAAGGAAGGAAGGAAGGAAGGAAGGAAGGAAGGAAGGAAGGAAGGAAGGACACGCCAGGCCAATACACACACAACCTCACTCACCTTTTGGAAAACATGGCCACGATGGTGGGCTGCTTGCCGGAACTGCGTGTGACCCTTGAACTGCCGGGGGACTCTACGCATTAAAACAAACAGAGAGAGTTGCTGCTAACGCGCATAAAACATATGCGTTTTTACAGTGCATAAAACCGGCCTGGATCTCGTCAGATCTCGGAAGCTAAGCAGGGCCGGACCTGGTCACTGTTTGGGTGGGAGACCACCGAGGAAGCCCAGGGTTGCTCCGCAGAGGCAGGCAAGGGCAAACCACCTCTGCTCATCTCTTGCCTTGACCTGGGTGGCCCAGGCTAGCCCGATCTCGTCAGATCTCAGGAGCTTCGCAGGGTCTGCTCTGGACCAGGGTCCTATCCAGGGTCACTACACGGAGGTGGGCAAAGCCCTTTGTTTGTCTCTGCCCTGAACTGGGTGGCCCAGACTAGCCTGATCTCATTAGATCTCAGAAGCCAATCAGGGTCGGCCCTGGTTAGTACTTGGTTGTGAGAACCACTAAGGAAGTCCCGAGTTGCTAGGCAGAGGCAGGAAATGACAAACCACCTCTGTCCATCCCTTGCCTTGACCTGGGTGGCCCAGGCTGGCCCGATCTCGTCAGATCGCAGGAGCTTAGCAGGGTCTGCTCTGGTTAGTATTTGAAGGGGAGGCCACCAGGGGAGCCCTTGGGTTGCTAGGCAGAGGCACGGAATGGCCAGCCACCTCTGAATGTCTCCTGCCTCAAAAACCCTACGGGGTCTCCCTAAGTTGGCTGCGAGCTGACGGCGCTTTCTGCCAAAGCGGCATCTCCACAAGCCCAAATAAAGGCCCACTTGACACAAACAGCTGTTCCCTCTCCAGTTCAACGGGCTTGAATGTTCAGGACGGACAAAAGGAAAGACTACTTTACACAGAGAGTGTGATTAAAATGTGGAATTCGCTGCCAGGGGATGTCGTGATGGCCTCAAGGACAGAGAGCTTGAAAAGGAGACTAGGTAGATACATGGAGGAGAAGTCTATCAATGGTGGCTGTGGGGAACCTCCACATTCAGAGGCACTAATCTTCTCAATTCCAGAACCCAGAGGCAACATCAGGAGAAGGCCTCGGCCTCTCTGCCCTGTTGCTGGCCCTCCAGAGGAACTGGCTGGCCCCTGTGTGAGGTGTGATGCTGGACTAGAGGGACCCTCCCTGGTCTGACCCAGCAGGGCTCTTCTTATGCCCTTATCAGGGGAAGGCCTCGGCCTCTCTGCCCTGTTGTTGGCCCTCCAGAGGGACTGGCTGGGCACTGTGTGAGACGGGAGGCTGGACCAGGAGCCTCACTGCTCTGATCCAACAGGGCTCCTCTGATGTTCTTGTCAGGGGAAGGCCTCGGCCTCTCTGCCCTGTTGTTGGCCCTCCAGAGGAACTGGCTGGCCACTGTGTGAGACAGGATGTGTCTCAGAGGTGTCTCAGAGGGGCTTACAAACTCCTTTCCCTCCCCCTCCCCACCACAGACACCCTGTGAGGTAAAAGAAGAAGAAGAGATTGGATTTATACCCCGCCCTTCACTACCCAAAGGTGTCTCAGAGGGGCTTACAAACTCCTTTCCCCTCCCCTCCCCACCACAGACACCCTGTGAGGTAAAAGAAGAAGAGATTGGATTTATACCCCGCACTTCACTATCCAAAGGAGTCTCAGAGCAGCTTACAAACTTCTTTCCCCTCCCCTCCCCACAAGAGACACCCTGTGAGGGAGATGGGGCCGAGAGAGCTCTGAGAGAACTATGGCTTTGCCCAAGGTCATCCAGCAGGTGCAAGTGGAGGAGTGGGGAATCAAACCCGGTTCTCCCAGATTAGAGTCTGCGCACTTTACCACTACACCAAACTGGCTCTGTCTGGGATTTGCTATTTTATTTTTTGAACTGCCTTGAACTAAGAGGAAAGGCAGAATATAAATGTTTTAATATATAAATAAGTTGTTGTTACATCATCATCATGATCATTTCACTTGCATCAGGCTCTGGACGATGTACAAGGCATGATGCCATAAAATATTTTTTTAAATTAAAATTCATTATATAACTTAATAAAAATTACAGTCCAAAATAAGAGATTTAAGTTGGCGATTTTCCTATCATATTATTTGTTTGGTGTGGTGGTTAAGTGCGCGGACTCTCATCTGGGAGAACCGGGTTTGACTGCCCGCTCCTCCACTTGCACCTGGCTGGATGACCTTGGGCAAGCCGTAGTTCTGATAAGAGCTGTTCTTGAAAAAGAGCAGTTTCTGTCAGAGCTCTCTCAGCCCCAACTACCTCACAGGGAGTCTGTTGTGGGGTGGGGAAGGGAGAGGAGTTTGTAAGCCGGTCTGAGACTCCTCTGGGTAGTGAAGGGCGGGGTATAAATCCAATCTCCTCTTCTTCTTCTTTTACCTCGCAGGGTGTCTGTGGTGGGGAGGGGGAGGAAAAGGACTTTGTGAGCCGCTCTGAGACACCTTTGGGTAGTGAAGGGCGGGGTATAAATCCAGTCTCCTCCTCTTCTTCTTTTACCTCACAGGGTATCTGTTGTGGGGAGGGGAAGGGAAAGGAGTTTGTCAGCTGCTCTGAGACACCTTTGGGTAGTGAAGGGCGGGGTATAAATCCAATCTCCTCCTCTTCTTCTTCTTCTTCTTCCTGTCCCAGTTCCAGACTATCAGCCCCTTTTCTGGGCAGAGGGAAAGGAAGCTCAGAGCAAGAAAGGGGGAGGGGGAAGAGGAAGGGTGCCAGCCAGTGAGTCACTGTTGCTGCCCTCAACCAAAAGCCGGACGGAACATCTTTGCTTTGCAGGCCCTGCGGAACTGCATAAGATCACGCGGGGCCCTGATGTCATTTGGCAGAGAGTTCCGTCAGGTCGGGGCCTGGACCGAGAAGGCCCTGGTCAAGGACAGCCGGACACCCCTGGGGCCAGGGATCACCAGCAAGTTGTTACTTGGAGAGTGCAAGGCTCTCCCAGGGCCACACCGGAGGAGACAACAACAACCAGCAGCCAGTCCCCTGTGGAGAAAAGGCCTCCCAAGCCAGTGGCTCCGATTCCCATAGAGTCCTGTGCCCTGGTGTTTCTGAGTGAAGCACCAGCTGGAAGAAAAGAGTGGTGAGCTGAGGCCAGACCCCCCCCCCCGACAGTCCCCAAACTGCTGCCTACTTCTGTTCTCGCCGTTGGACTTGCTCCTCCGACCCCGACGGGCTTTCGAGACGGTCGGCGAGGCCAGCGTGGCCGAGGAGGAGGAGGAAGATGCGGTTGCCTCTTCGGTCTCCATGGCGGCATCCTCTACCCCCTTGCGGCACGGTCTCTCGGACTCGTCATCGCTGCCACAGGTGCCGTTCTCTGCGTAGCCGTTGGGCTTCTGGCCGAGTTCCGGGGCGTCTCCATTCTCCAACGAGAGCTCTTTGGGGAGCAGGGCTTTGACTTGGGCCAAGTACCGCTCCTGGGAGATTGGGGAGGGGGGGGGGAAGAGACAAACAAGCTGAGTCCATGGACGCATGGGGAACATCTATGTTTACTTACAAAATTTGAGTCCAGTGGCACCTTTAAGAGCGACAAAGTTTGATTCTGGGTATAAGCCAGGAGTGGTCAAACTTGCTTAATGTAAGAGCCACACAGAATAAAAGTCAGATGTTTGAGAGCCGCACGCCGTGAACAAATATTACACATAGGTTTTTATTGGAAAATATGCACATTTGCCTTTTATTAACATTAAATGAGACTGCCAAAAATAAAAACAAAAAGGGGTAAAAATAGATATTGATAATGATATTTATTTGCCCAATGATATTTGTAGGCTTGGGGGGGTAGCCCCTTTGAGAACGCATTTAAAGAGAAGAAGGAAGAAGGAAGAAGGGAGAAGAGGGGAGAAGAAGGGAGGAGGAGGAAGAGAAGGAGAAGGAGAAGAAGAAGAGGAAGAGGAGATTGGATTTATACCCCGCCCTTCACTACTCAAAGGTGTCTCACAGCGGCTGACAAACTCCTTTCCCTCCCCCTCCCCACAACCTGTGGGGTACCCCTGTGAGGTAAAAGAAGAAGAAGAGATTGGATTTATACCCCCCGCCCTTCACTCCCCAAACTCCTTTCCCTTCCCCTCCCCACACCCTGTGAGGTAAAAGAAGAAGAGATTGGATTTATACCCCCCGCCCTTCACTACCCAAAGGTGTCTCAGAGCGGCTTACAAACTCCTTTCCCTTCCCCTCCCCACAACAGACACCCTGTGAGGTAAAAGAAGAAGAGATTGGATTTATACCCCACCCTTCACTACCCAAGGGAGTCTCAGAGAGGCTTACAAACTCCTTTCCCTTCCCCTCCCCACAAGAGACGCCCTGTGAGGCAGGTGGGGCTGAGAGAGCTCTGACAGAAACAGCTCTTTTTCAAGCACAGCCCTTATCAGAACTATGGCTTGCCCAAGGTCATCCAGCCAGGTGCAAGTGGAGGAGTGGGGGAATCAAACCTGGTTCTCCCAGATTAGCGTCCGTGCACTTAACCAAGACACCAAACTGGCCTTCTTTCTCTGCTCCCTTCTGCCTCAAGCCTACCCAGGAAGGGGAATTAGCTGGGGAAGGGAAGACCGATCAGGGGACGGGAGGCATGCCTCCCCTTCGCTTCCCTAGCTGCCCTGTCGGGAGCCACACAATATGTGTGAAAGAGGCGCACATGGCTCCTGAGCCACAGTTTGACCACCCCTGGTATAAGCTTTCATGCATGAGCACGCTTCTTCAGATAGATTCAGGTGGGTCGCCGTGTTGGACTGAAGCAACAGAACAAAGTTTTGAGTCCGGCGGCACCTTGAAGACCAACAAAGTTAAATTCTGGGTACAAGCTTTCATGTGCAAACATACTTCAGATACACTGAAACAGACTTCCATATGATTGGGGGGGGGGGGTTTAGTTGCCAGAAAGGGGTAATTTGAGTCAAGATGCATAAGTAACCGAGCAATAAGTATAGCTGAGATTTGATTAAAGCAGTCGGTAAGACCTGCAGAGAGCAGCAAATTAACATGCAGATAACCGCTTTAATGCAGTCTTTGCTTTACTTATTGCTCAGTTACTTATGCATCTTGACTCCAATTAGCCCTTCTTGGCAAATAACCAGGTGGCCGCGGTGGCTCAGTGAAGACGCTGAACTGCAGACCGGAAGGTCGGTGGTTCGGCAGTTCGAGACCCGGGTGCTGCGTGACGGGGTGAGCTCCCGTCTCTGGCCCCAGCTCCTACTAACCTAGCAGTTCGAAAGCAAGAACTTGCAAGTAAATAAATAGGTACCACTTTGGTGGGAAGGTGACAGCGTTCCGCGCGCCTCGCCATCGAGTCATGCCAGCCACATGACCACAGAAACGTCTTCGGACAGCGCTGGCTCTTTGGCATAGAAACAGAGATGAGCACCGCCCCGTAGAGTCAGATTCGACTGGCTTTCGAGTAAGGGAAACCTTTACTTTTACTAGCAACTAACCTCCCATATATAATGGCTGGCGATATGTGTTTCAATGTATCTGAAGAAGCTCGCATGCACACAAAAGCTTATATCAAGAATCAAACTTTGACGGTCTTAAAGCTGCCAGTGGACTCAAATTTTGTTCTGTTGGCTGCACTGTCCAGGAATTAAATTTTTTTGGAATACAGTATTGGAACGAACTCATTTAATAACATATTTGGAGATAAAACCCACAATAGAAAACATACTTTTAAATGACTGGATACATAATCAAAGTCCCACAGATAAAGTGGAAACAATATTGGTATTACTTTCAGCAGCCAAAACAGCTATTGCGATATGCTGGAAATCGAGCACTTGGCCAGATATACCTGTCTGACTCAAAAAGCTCTGGGATTACTATATATTAGCAAAAATAATGGAAAATATTACTCAATATGATTCCACTTCACCTCAAGCTAATTTTATTACAATATGGCTCCCCGTTTTTGGATACTTAACTCAAAAGCAGGAAGAAATACCATAAATAATTACAAGCCTCCATTTATGGTAATAGTTTCCTGAAGAACTGATAAAAGTTTATAAAATATGGGTCAATTTCACATTACCTTTTTAAAACTGCATGGTTTCCATTATTGGCCCGTCATGGAGGAAACCAGTGCAGGGACAGCTGTTTCCCACAGCATTTCACTTCTGGTAAGGAGCCGTCTCTGAAGAGCTGTGGCCATTTCAAACTGTGCCACTTTCTTTTCCCGCCATTTTCCTCCATGTGCACGATCTCCCTGAGATGGCTTTATGGGGGGAAGATTTTATTGGGAGCGCTATGACGCTGATTTGACATCCTGTTATAGCGTTATAGCGCTCCCAATAGAACATTAAAACAAAAAAAAGAGGCGAGATCGTGCACTGAGGGAAAAAGGGCGTGAAAAACCCATCACTGGAGGAAGCGCTACGGGGCATTTTACACAGCCCATTCAGATCCGGAAGAAGGGATTGAAGACCTGAGGAAAGCCGTTTTTGTCAACAATGCCTCAGACACGCTTCCCAAACAGGAGACAACCGGCATTGTCTGAACAGGCAAATATATTCCATTAACAGTCGGTTACTCAAACGTGTCTGTCTGAAATGACCGGGGGGGGGGGGGGTGGGAACGTTAGTAACCAGTTCCTGAAATGGAATAGATAGGCTGTCTGAAATCCTTCATGGTTATATATTTGTTTGTTAGATTTTTATACGCTGGAAAACTTTTTGAGTTGAGCTGCTACTTTTTGAGTTGACCCAGTACAAACCAGGGCTGACCCCTGCTCAGCTTCCAAGAGCTGATGAGACTGGGTTAGCCTGAGGTATACTCTGCAAAAAAGTGCAGGCTGGGCAGGGAGAGAACGGGACAATAATTAAAGATGTACAGCTGTATTTTCAGTCAATAATAATTAGGGGCTGCTCAGGGAAATTCTCCCCGTCCAAATCTCTCCACAGATTTTGAAGTTCTAAATTAAACTATCTTGTTTTTTTGAAGCTTCACTGATACAGTACTGCTGTCTTTTTCACATTTTGATTTCCAGCCTCGCTCCAGACTACTTTGCGTGTCTCTTTTGTTTTTACGAGTTGCCTGTGTGCAGCAATCCGAATTCCAGAGCGCTATGATTTAAATTGACACCCATGTGCACGGAGACTCAGATATGCTGTATAAACCACGACAACGTGGAAACTGAAATCTGTGGCAAGCCGGGCAAGCGATGTAAGCCATGACAAGGACACTCGGAAATTCCAGTCAGATAGTACTAAAGTCAGGGAGCACGTCAGGCCCGTAGCTACCGCGGGGCTCGCCCCCCCCCCCAGTCGTTTTTGTGGGGCCTCCCTCTCAGAGCCTTGGCTTCCCTCCCCCAATGGCCTGTCAGTGGGGAGGACGAGGGCGGCACACACAGCAGTGGCGACACAAGAAGC